TTGGGCTTTCGCTTTTTGACTATTAAAAATAATGAACATTTCATGTACAAGTTTTTGTAGAGACATTTTCAGTTCTCTTGGATATACTAGGAGTGGAATTGCTGGATCAAATGGTAACCGTCTTTTTGAGGAACTGCCAGACTTATTCAAAATGGCTGCACCATTTTACATTACCACCGGCATCATATGAGGGTTTCAGTTTCTCTGTAGTCTCACCAACCTGTCTTTCTGATTATAGCCATCCTAATGGTGGTTTGGTTTGCATTTCCCTCATGGCTAATGATGTTGAGCATCTTGTGATGTCCTCTATGGAGAAATGTCTGTTAACATCCTTTGTCCATTTTTAGATTGGTTATTTGTCTTTTTATTATTGAGTTGTAGGAATTTTTATTTTTTATTTTTATTTATTATTTTTATTATTTTTTAATGTCTACAGCATCTGTGTGTAGACATTATTTCTAGGTGGTCTCCCATCCAAGTACTAACCAGGCCCGACCTTGCTTAGCTTCCGAGATCAGACGAGATTGGGCACCTTCAGGGTGGCATGGCCGTAGACTAGGAATTTTTAAAATATAATCTAGATATAAGGCCCTTAGCAGATTTGCGAATATTTTCTCCCATTCCTTGATAGAATCTTTGAGTCACAAGTGTTTTTAATTTTGACAGTATCCAATTTTTGCTGTAACTTCTTAAGTAAGGGCTGTTTTATGCTTTTTATTCTTGCTTGTTGGAAAAAGTGTTTTATCTACCCTGATATTTGGCCTTAGTGCAGGACCTCTTATCTGAGGATTTGCATTCTTTAGTTTTGAGAAATTTTCTTTCTTTCTTTTTTTTTTTGATAATTTCTTCCTCTTTCATATCTCTTTTTCTGGAATTCCTCCTAGTTGTATATCTGATCCAGGGCCTCTGATTTTCTAACCTTTTCTTTAATTTTATTTCCTTCTGTCATTCCTTCCCCTCCCCACTTCCTATTTCTGGGACATTTCTTCAACTTTATCAGCAGCATTCAACTATTTTGGATTTCCTGTTTCTTGTTATTCTTTAACCTAATGTTCTTATTTTATTCTTTGGGTATATAATATGTTCTTTTATCTCTTTGAGGATATTAGTTATAGGGTTTTCTTTTTTTCCTGTTCCCCACATTGTCTTTGTTTCTTCCAGAATTATTTCCTCCAACATTAAGGAAAATTACAAACATATAATATGTACCCAACACCCAGTTTTAAAAACTATCAGTTCATGGACTATCTTGTTTCATCTGTACCTCTCTGTCCCCACTGGATTATTTTTGTTTTTTATTTCGAAATAATTTCTTTTAAAAAAATAATCTCAAATTTACAGAAAAGTTGCAAGAATGAAACAGAATCCTCATACCTTAATCCACATTTACTACTTTTTAATTTTTTGCTCCCCCTTAAAAATTATTTGTTCCATGATGGTTCCAAAGTGGGGTTTTTCCAGCTCTACAACTTCCTCCACATTCTTAAGTGGGTCTTCTGCGTAAGGATAAGTGCTCCCTCCTCTCCCCTTTATGTCTCTCTGTTCTTTTCTTTATTATCAGCCTGGAATCGCGAATTCCCATTTCATTTAATGTGTTATAATTTATTACTGTCCTTAATTATTTTGGTGCTCAAATTTGTCATTTTACCTGTAAAATTTTCTGTGTATTCTGTGAAAGATAAGGTGTCCTTTAAAAGAACACTAATACCACTATAACAAAGAATGGTAATTTTTTTAGATTTTAAAGTTTATTTTCATATTAAAAAAATTGTGCATCCAATAATTAAAACCATTTTGATAACAACAAAATATATGTGTATATATGTATATATCCATGTATGTATATATATGCATTTAACAGCCTGCAGGATACTTTAGATGTCCCTGTTGTCCCACCCAGCTTCTGCCTTCACTAACATGCAAGTTATTTTCTTTCTCTGCCAGCCAGACAGGCAGATGGGAGAGGCAGATGTGGCCTTTGTTGTCAGTAGTTCTTTGATGTGAAAGGGGGCAGCACAGTCATTTAAGCTTGATCCAACTTCTATGCATCTCACAAAGGTTAAACAGAAGAAAATAAGTCAATGCTTGTGGAATGTACAGTGCATATTCGCAATGCGTGCCTCATTGCGATTCACCTGCTTCCTTCTCCTGTTCAATTGTTTCTTTTGAAGGCAGTGGATTTTTCTCTTGCGTTTCTGTTTTCTTCGACTTATCAAATTTCTTAATCTCAGCCATATTGGGTTTGTCAGACATGGTTGTAGAGGAAGTAGAGCAAGGCACGTGAACTAGTGAGTCCAATCTGCCTCAGTGGTGGTTGTGAAGTTAATAATTTTTTAATAACATTAAACCATTTTTAAGTTAAAATTTTCCTGTTCATTTCATGGTTTTTGTTTGACAGTTCATTTGTAGTTTGTGAAAATCAAGATCCAAAGTCAAAGTTTATATATTATATTTGGTTAATATGCATCTTAAGTCTCTTAATGTTTAAGTTTTCCCCTCTTTCATGTTGTAGTTTATTTATTGAAGGAATTGGGTCATTTGTTCTATAACATTCCCACATCATCGATTTTGCTGATTGCAAAGTCATTTTATTTGTCTCCTGTGTTTTTTTGTAAGTTGATACTTAGTTCTAGATGAGGCTTGTTAATATTTAGATTCAAGTTTTTGGCAGGAATCACAGGTGATGGTACTTCCTTTGATTCCTTTGTTTCGGTCTCTTTCTTGTTAGAGGTCATTTCCAAATGTCTTATGATTCTAGACTGTCCATTCATACTTACGTATCAGCACCTGAGAAATTTGTTAGAACCTCCATGTCTGAGCAGGTGTAGGTTTGTGAGCTTCTCTGTAGGGGCAAGCTTGCCTCTTCATTGGAGAAGGTAGGGCACAGATGTCAGAATCTGAAGGTCTGTTAATTCTTAGCTTCTACTGAGAAGACTTCCATTCCCCTGACTGGGACCTCCCAGTTTAGCTGCCAGAATTTTGGAAGCAGGATGTAGGGTGGAAGCTGTAAACCTGCCTGGCCATGTTGGGGAGGAGACCAGGGGCTCCAAATGCTTACCATACAGGCTTTCATTCAGTCCTCACATTTGGGCCTATGGCTTCAATTCTTGGAGCCTTTTCTTGTTCTTTCTAATTCTGAGCTCTTCTGGAATTCTGTTGGCCTGCTTCTCTTTGGTATCTCTGTTGGTTTTTACTTCCTCAAATCTGTTAGGTCAGTTAATTTTCTTCTTTCCACTTGTTGCAAAATTTGTAGAAATCTTTCACTTTCTATGATCGCTTCTCCCATCTCTTGTATACCCTTTATTGTTTACTGTCATCTTAGGAGGGAAATCTGTATGTTTGTTTAACTGGGAGTCAACACCTAATATTCTTTCTTTTTGGAGGGCTATCTTTTATATTTGGTTATCATTATGTGTACTCCAACTCAGAAGCAAGTTCATATTCATATCCTTACTGAGATCAAACCTATGTCCCAGTCTTTCCAGTATTTATATATCACTTGTCAGATTCCAGACATTGTTTTAGATGCTGAAGATATAATGATGAGAAAGTCAGATGCGGCTTCTGTTTTCATGGGACTTATACACAAGTGGAAAAAGCAGATATGTACAAGTAATTAGAATGTTGGCATAGAGTATATAACAAAAAGGAGTCTTTCACTAAAGATAATATCCTATAGAATCATTATAACAAGACATAAACTCATGTCTTGTTATAATGACCCATTTATTAAGGCAGTATTTATCCAAAAATCCCTATTTGAATCATCCTTCAATTAAATTTATTTACGGAAATAGTCACTAATGGTGACCTTTGTCCCTTGGAGTGTAATGCCAGAAAGACTAGTATGTAGGTTTGATCTCAGAACTATTTGTTTTGCATGGATAAACTCTTTTGTAGCTAATTCCTTGTCTGATTGTCAGTGAAATGTGTGACTTTGATTATAAGAGTGAACTTGATTATAAAGAGTGATTTCATTTTTTTAGAATGAATGTCTCATTAAGAATACATCACAGTTACCCAACACAGGACATGTTCACCCAGTTAGCTTTGCTCCACCATGAACTTACTCCTTTGTTTTATTGCTCATATTAATTTCCAAAGGCTACTGTAACAAAATACCACAAAACTGGGTGGCTTAAAACAACAGAAATTTATTGTCTCACATTTCTGGAGGCTAGAAGTCTGAAATCAATATGTCGACAGGGCCATCCTCTTTCTGAAAGCTCTGGAGGAGGATCTGGTCCATGCCTTTCACTTAGCTTCTGGTGTTGCCCACAGTCCTTGGTGTTCCTTGGCTTGTGGACACATCACTCCAATCTTTGCTTTCATTATTACATACTGTTCTTATGTCTCTACATGGCATTCTCCTCTCTGTGTATATCTGTCCCTGTGTCTCTTCTCTTTTTATAAAGATGCCAGTCATATTGGATTAAGTGCTCACCCTATTCCAGTATGACCTCATTGTAACTTACATCTTAATTACATGTGCAAAGACTGTTTCCAAATAAGGTCATATTCACAGCGTATCTTTTTGGGGAATACAATTTAACTCATAGCATTGCTATTCTTTGCAATAATGAACATTATTGGTAGGAATTATCACCAAATGAAAATGAAAATTGTACACAGTACTGTACTGCTGATCAAAAACTGCCCAAAGAATCTTATAGGTAACATTGACAACCATAAAAATTAATCTGGGAAATTTTTGGCATCTATTGATGTTCTTATGAAGGGAAGTTGAAGGTCTTAGAACATCACCTGGACAGGAAGAATGAGCCAGTCATAACTTTTTGAGTGTAGTTCACTCTCCTCTCAATTTCCTTTCTTAGAAAATAACTTCTTAAAAATGCAATTAATTTTAGATCAAAGACTTCCTATGTTCATCTAGTGTTGAATTAAGAAGGAGAGGCAGGAGACCAGGAGCTGGCATGCAGCTTTTCCAAAATGTGGCTTCTAATTTACTCTTTCTTTTATTCCCTTTTTCTTATAGTTAGAAGGGGGAAGATAAAAGACTTTGATTCTTCATGAAGAATCTGCTCACTAAGAAGTGTATATCAAGCCACTGGTTGAATGTCCATCAAAAGATTAAGCAGAGATTAAGTGGAGAATGGAGAGGAAAGTCGACTCCAGGTGAGTGATGTGGCTTGACAAAAAAGATAACTGTAATTATGGCCCATATAAAAATCTGTAAACATTTTGAGTGTGAAAATAATAAAAAATGCAATTTTTCCTAAATCATGAGTGGTGAGATAGGAAGTTTGGATAAGGATTTTCTGTTGTTGATATTTAGATTTCTCATCTAGAGTATAATACATATTTCATACCTAATGTTACAGTCAAAGACCATTTTGCATGTGTGGAAATATCATTAAAATTTTGATTTTGAGCAGTAATGAGGATGATTTTTCTGAGGTTAGAAGTTACAACATTAAGGCTGGCTGGCTACTGTATCTTTCTTCTACTTTTAATCATGGTTGCTTTCAACTTGCATTAGGGTTCTTTTGATTCCAGATAACAGAATCTAATTCTGGCTAGCCTAGGCAAAGGGAAGGAATTTACAAGACAGACCGCAGTTTACTAATAAACCTCAGACTCAGGCGTGGGTATGTGACTCTCAGCTGGCCAGTCAAGTGTATCTCACTGCCCTAGACACAGTGATTGGTTCAGGGATGGGCATTTGACCACATAGGGCTAATCAGAGGCTTTTCTCTAAAGCTGAGACAGCCATTTAAAGAGAGAGGCCTATCTAATGCAAAGGTTGCTATGACAGCAGTTGCAGTCTCCACTATGCAGAGGCAACAGGAAGCCTGTGTTGTAGGAGGTAAGCAGGTCAGCACACTCAAGAGAAGCAGCAGGACCTAATAATATTGAGACACATGTTCTAGTCCTTGAGGCTGTAGTTCAGAATTATTTCAAAGTACATAAGCTAGGGAATTATCTTTGTGTTGGATATCTTCAGTTTTATCTCTCCAGATCTAACCTCCACTTGTTGGCATCCAGGCTTCCTGTTGGTTTTGGCTAAAGAGGAGCCCTGGCAGGAGGTATGGAGAGAAGAGTGAGAGGCCAGACTATTAATTCTCTTGGCTCCTTCCTTGAAAGATACTTGGTTGGCCATGTCCCTCCACTGAAGTTCACAGTACTTTATAAGGCAGCACATTCTGTATGACTTTCCTTCTGGATTCTGGTAATTATTCCTTCCTCTTATCCCTTTGGGCCTAGAAGTTAGACTAGTTTAGCTTCTACTAGCTTCAGGTTCCTGCACTGGCCCTTGTGGTTCATTTACACCCACAGCTTCGTAAATACGCTGTCTTCAAATTATGCTGTTTTAGTATGCCAGCTGTTTTCTTTGGGACTCTTGGGGGTTTTATCATGACTGGATTTTGTCAAATGGTTTTTCTGTATCTATTGAAATCATATAGTTTTTGTCCTTTCTTCCATTAATAGGGTGTATTGCATTAATTGATTTTCAGATGTTAAACTAGCCTTGCATTCCAGTATAAAATCCCACTTGGTCATGGTGTTTGTTATATGGTTTTTATATATTAGATTTGGTTTGCTAATATTTTTTGAGGATTTTTGTGTTTATAGTCATAAGGGATATTAGTCTGTATTTTGTGTGTGTGTGCGAGAGAGAGACAGACAGACACAGACCTTTGCCTTTGATATATGAGCGTGATACTGGCCTCAAATAATGAATTTTGAAGTGTTCTTCTATTTTCTGGAAGAGTTTATAGAGTATTGATATCATTTATTTTTGAAATGTTTGATAGAATTCATCAGTAAAGCCATCTTGACCTGTGCTTTTCTTTGTAGGAAAAATTTTAAATTACTAATTCATTTTCTTTACTTGTTACAGCTCTATTCAGAATTTCTGTTCTCAAGTCAATTTTAATAATTTGTTTTTCTGGACATTGTTCATTTCATCTAAGTCATCTAATTTGTTGGATGCTTAGCTCATTGACTTTCAATCTTATTTCCTTTGAAACCCATGCATCTAATGCATTTTTCTTTAACCACAGCTATCGTTGCATTCCGTATATTGATATGTAGTGTATTTGTTGTCATTTGAACATATTCGCTAATTTTTATTATGATTTTTTTGACTTGTTTTTAGAAATGTTTCTTGATTTCCAAATATATGAAGATTTTCTAATTACCTTTAGATTTTTGATTTCTGTTTAATTACAGTGTGATCAAAGAACTTACTGTGTATGATTTCAGGCATTTGAAAAATTTTGAAACTTGCTTATGGCCCAGTGCATGATCATGTTAGTTTTTTAATTGGACAGTTTATTTCTACATATCCTTTCTTTTTTTTATAATATTTTTTCATTGATAAATACAACACAAGTATAGAAAACAGCATAAAAATGTACATCTTGGTGAATTATTATAAGGCAAACACCTCTGTAACCACCACTCATAACAAAAGATAGAACTTTGTCAGCCATTCCAGAGCCTCCTTCCAAATGTACCTGTCCGTACTCCAGAGAGTAACTGTTATCTTGATTTGAATGGTAGTTACTTTCTTACTTTTCTTTGTAGTTTTATCATCCAGCTGTGCATTCCTAAACACTTTAGTTTTGCTTGTGCAGTTTTAAACTTTTTCAAATTATAGGCTGTTTTTATTTATAATTTTCCATATTTTTCAAATTTTCTAAAATGGTCCTATGTTGCCTTTTAAAAGATAGCTTTTTTTGAGATACAGTTCACATGCTATACATTTCACTTATTTAAAGTGTACAATTCTGTGGGTTTTATAATATTCACTGAAGTTTTTTTTGTGGCAAAATATACATAACAAATTTATCATTTGAACCATTTTTAAGTGTACGATTCAGTAGCATTAATATATTCACAATGTTGTGCTACTTACCATCTGTACCTAAAACTTTTTCAGCATCCCAAACATAAACTCTATATCCATTAAACAATAACTCCTCATCTTCCCCTGGAAACCACCATTCTACTTTCTGTTCTTATGAATATGACTATTCTAGGCATCGTATGTAAGTAGAATCATAGAATATTTGGCCTTTTATGTCTGGCTTATTTCACTTAGCATAATGTCTTAAAGGTTGATCCATGTTGTAGCATGTATCAGAATTCCTTCATTTTTATAGCTATATAATATTCCATTGTATGGCTATACCACATTTTGTTTATCCATTATCAGTTAATGGATACCTGGGTCATTTCCACCTGTTGACTATTGTGAATAATGCTCTTACCTCACTTTCTATAGTTATATACTTCTGCCCTACAAATGTGTTCAAGCTTGACTTTTATTTCTTTAAACATAGTTAACTTAGTTGTTTTAAGATATACATCCCTGTGGGAGTAAGAGTATTTGGGAACTCTATTCTGCTCAATTTTGCTGTGAACCTAAAACTGCTTTAAAAATAAAATCTATTAATTAAAAATATGTATATACATATGCATACACGTACACATATATGCTTGTTTCAGTACAGATATTCTGAAGCAAAAGATCTAGAATGCGATCAGAGCATCTAGGTTTTTAACAAATTCCCTAGGTAATTCTAATATAAATCAGTCTGAGATCTTACTAGACTACTTGGAGTTCCTTCACTTCTCCGTGAACTTTTCTTCTACACTGAGTATTTCTACCCAACTCCTTCCAATTCTCTTTTTGCACCCTAATTCCTGGCTGATTTCTACTCATATTTCCAAACTCAACTGTAATATCATCTCTGGGAAGCCTCTTCTGACCACTATTCAACCCAGTATAGATTAAGTACCTATTGTGTACATTCCCACAACACCCTTTCATTGCATTTAACAGTTGGTATTCTCATTGTTTGTCATCTCCACAGACTGTAGGCACTTTTGGATGAACATTTTCAAATTCTGTCTTTCTCCTCACTTTCATTTTTCTGTGTATCTTGGTTAATCATACTCTTCTTTTGACATTAAAAAACTAATGTGTTCTGATGTTCTTAATTAAGCCAGGATCCTCCCCTGTTCTTCATGATATTTTGGCTTACTGATACTATGTTTTAAAAGTGCCTTCTGTTTTATCCATTTTATATTTCTTTAGTCCTGTCCTTTGCATCCTTCTGCCCTAATTCAGCAGATGTTTTATGAGTACCTACTATGTGCCTGGCAGTGTATTAGAGGCTGAGTATATATTAGCAAATATAAATGGTCTCTGTTGTCATGAAGCTTACAGATAGGTTAAGGGAAACAAGACGCGTAGGTAAACAAACATAGTTTCAGTCTGATCTCTTCCTTCAGGTGTTGATTTTGTTAGAATAACTTAGATTTCTGGGGCTACCTGATTTAACACCAGTGTTGATATCTTTATGGTGTTTAAACATCCAGAGCTATAAAAATAGTTCCTTTGTTGCTTATGAGGAGGAGCCCAGAGAGACTGGTGAATGGAGAGGGCAGTGGTGACAAGGATGACTTTAGGCTTGGGCTTCCAGGTCTGTTGAGTGCAGACTACGTGTCTGGTTATATAGCAGGGCTTCAAATGGGTACTGTCCCAGCATACCTTCTGTCAATGTGCTGTTTCATGGGCTTTTTAACCTTTTTATTTTAAAGGGCCTCTTTTTATTTTAAAGTGGCAAAATATCGTTATGGATTTATGGATTCCTATTTTATTCAGTGGATTTTCATCTATTGTCCCAGTGGGATGAAAGCCTTATTTATTTTCAAAAAATTTTGTTAACCTTTTATTTTGAAATAATTTCAAAGTTGCAAGAATATGACAAAGAACTATATACCTCGCTTCTCCTAGATTCTACTGTTAACATTTTACCTCATTTGTCTATCTTTCTCTCTCTCAGCATTTTCATGTCATTTGCAGGCATGTGCAGAGGGGTAAAAAATTTTTGTCACCTAGTGCACGTGTTCCCAGCTGAGATGAAACAAGGCAGTGAGTGCTCTGTCTTCCTGTTTCAGCTCTCATACTGCAAACAAGTGTCATTTTTGCAGTTTATGTAGTGCCATATTTTCACAGTTTTGTGCATTTTGTTGACGATTTTGCTGTTTAAAATGGCCCTCATGCACAGTGCTGAACTGCTGTCTAGTGCTCCTAAACTCAAGAAGGCTGTGATGTATCTTATGGAGAAAGTATGTTAGGTAAACTTTGTTCAGGCATGAGTTATAATGCTGTTGGCTGTGAGTTCAGTGTTAATGAATTATATATATTAACATGTATTGTGTATTATGTAATGAACTAATATGTATTAAATAAGATGTCTATTTTTTTTTAAGATGTCTTTAAACAGAAGTACACATGAAACAAGGTTATGTATTGATTGGTTGATGGAAATATTTTTGAAAGTTCATGGGAACCTAACCTCTATAGAGACATAATAGATATATTCACTAATTCAGTGTTTGACTTTATAGAACATAATTACTGCAAATAATGAGAATCAGTTATATCTATATCTCTATAGATATAGGTATATATGCCTGTATATCTATATCTATATTTTTGCCCTGAACCTTTTGAGAGTAAGTTGAGGCCAATTGTCCCCAAAATGTTATTTACAGCAAAAAGAAAACAATAAAATATAAGAAAAACTTCCCTTTTTATTCCTATCCTTTCTGGTCCAGGATCACATATTGCATTTTGTCATTTTTCTCTCCTTTAATTTGGAACTCTTTCTCAGTCCTTCCTTATCTCTCATGACCCAAACAGTTTTGAGGAGTTCAGACCACTTAACCTTATACAAATATTTCTCAGTTTGGGTTTGTTCAATGTTTCTTCACAGTTAAATTCAGGTTATGCATTTTTGGCAGGAATATCATAGAAGTGTTGCTATGTTCTTCTCATTGCATCAATATCAGGAGACACATTATGTTGATTTGGTCCCATTATCATTGATGTTAACTTTTATCACTTGGTTAAGATGTTGTCTGCCAGACTTCTCCACTATAAAGTAATGAATAAGTATTTTGTGGTGAGATACTTTTTGAAACCACATTAATATTGTGTTCCTTATCAAAGTAGCACCCACTTGTTTTTGCATCATTAATGACTCTTGTCTGAATCAGTTAATACTATGATGGTTCCTAAATGATACTTTTCTAATTCTCTCATTCCTTCTGAATTTGTTAGTTGGCATTCTACTGTAAAGTAGAGCTTTCCATTCTCCTGTGTGTATTTATTCATTTATTTATATCAGTATGGATTTATGGGTTCCTATTTTATTCAGTGGATTTTCATCTATTGTCCCAGATTTGACCAGTGGGAGCCCTTCCAGGCTGGCTCCTGTGTCTCCCCCCCCACCCTTGGTATCTATTTTTTATTTATTTTTATTTTCTATTATTTTTTATTGAGATATAATAGACATATAACATTAGCTTCAAGTGTACAACATGATGATTCAATGTTTGTTTATAGTGAAATGATTACCAAATAAGTCTAGTTAACATAGTCTATTACATTAGTCTACTTAACATAGTCACACAATAAGTCGTTTTATATATATATATATATATAAACATATGTGTGTGTGTGTGTGTATATATGTATTTTTTTTGCTGATTCATTGATTTTATGTTTTTAAATATTTTTAT